AAATGTGTTACATCTCCAGGGGTTAAGATGTAGGCTCTTGGGTTGGTGATAGGATTCACTGGTGAAGGTGCTTGTCAACAAGCCTCAGGACTTGAGTTTGATCCCAGGTAAGTACGTGTTTGAAGGAGAGAACCAACTTCCACAAGTTGCCACAAGTTTTACATCGGTACATATGCTGTGGCCTGTTCACGCACCCCCTCCTTAATCATGAGTGAATGAATCTACTAAGACAAACAGTGCTGCTACTGCTCCTCCTTGAGCTACATCCACTAGCAAGAGGAGGGGGGCTAAGACTGAAGAGGCTTATGGGGGAACCCTCACCTTGTCCTGTCTTGCCGCCTGAATTCTCACACATTCATATATACATACATGTAGTTTGTTTGCTTGTTTTTTGAGATAAGGTTTCTCTTTTTAGCCCTGGTTGTCCTAGAACTCTCTGTAGACCAGGCTGGCCTCAAACTCCACCTGCCCCTGCCTCCCAAGTGCTGGGATTAAAGGCATGCACCACCACCACCGCCACCCAGCCTTTTCTTTAAACAAGGTCTCACCCTGCAGCCCTGATTGTCCTGGACTTTACAGGAGATCTGCTTGCCTTTGCTTTCCAAGTGCTGAGATTAAAGCTGTACACCTCTACCTCTGGCTTGAATTTTCACTTTCCCATTGCCTAGAAGGATGTTTTTGTTTTATTTTTTTTACTTGTTTTTTTAAAGATTTATTTATTTATGCATATGAATGGTCTGTTTGTATGTGTGCCTGCATGACAGAAGATCCTAGTATAGATGTTTAGGAGCCACCATCTGGTTGCTGGGAATTGAACTCAAGGACCTCTGGAAGAGCAGGCAGTGCTCTTAACTGCTAAGCCCCTGTTTTGTTTTTGTTTTGTTTTAGATTTACTTATTAAGTACATTGGGGTTTTGTCTACATGTATGTCTGTGAGGGAGCATATCCCCTGGGATTGGAGTCCGTGTGGTGCTGGGAATTGAACCGGGGTCCTCTGGAAGAGCAGTCAGTGCTCTTAACCTGTAAGCCATCTCTCCAGCTCCGCCACTGTTCGTTTTTAAGCTCCTGTTGTGTTGCAAGTAATCTAGTTTTTGTAATAATTCATTACAATCTCAAATTATTATTCCACTTTGTCAATGAGGACTCACCTGCTATCCTGAACTAGAGTGGCCTGGGCTGGGGCTCACCAGGGCAGATGTCGCAGGGAATACCCTTGCCCTAGCCCTTGTTGGCTCTAAAGGTAAGCAGACTAGGGGGATGAACAGATGAGGCTGTGCCCTTGAGGGCACAGGGCCTGGTGTGATGTGCTGCATTGTGCCTCTCTCCAGGTCTTCCTTGTAGCACCAGTCCACTCTGGACTTTCTTATGTTGAGGGTTTCTTTCCTAGCTTTGGGAGCAGCATGCTTGGGAAGATTGTCAGGGTCCACGCAGACCTTAGCTTTGAGTAGGCAGCGTTCTCTAATAGGCCCTGGAACATTTCAGGATAGACTTGGAAAAGGCCTTGGGCTGAAGTGGGTGTCCTTCTCCCTCCCCTCTGTACAACAGAGCTGGTCTTCGGGGTGGAATAGGAGGCCGGTCCAGTCCAGTCCTGGTGTCTGGTACCACATCACCTCTGTTTTTAGCAGAACCCGATTGTTGCATTTCATAGAAGCTGCGGCAAGAGGAGGGCTGGGCTCTTGGCATTTGCAGTGCCCATTGCTTTCCAGGAGGATGGCTTGGGAGAGAGCCAGGAGTGGTTGGCTAGTATCCAGGTCTGGGCCAAATTATTTGGCTGCGCTTGCCCAGAAAATGAGCCCTGCTCACTACCAAGCCCAAACCTAAAGGGCGGGAGGTTACCACACCTGGCTGGGGTATTGTGAGAGAGGCAGCAAGCCCCATAGCCCTAGTTCATACTGGATGGTAGCTTCACTTTGTTTCTTCTGGTAGAGGCGCTAGACCTGTGCCCTCGACGTGAGTTAGTTCATGAGACAAGGCAGAGGTGTGGGGGATTGTTTATTTTTTGTGATGCTGGATTTGAACTGAAGGCCAATGAGCTAGGCTTCCAGGCCTCCAGAGGTGGGAGGGGAAGGAGCCTGAGTTAGAGGCTCTGTAGTTAGAGGCCCTTCCTGGGAGTGTAGAAAATTGACCACAGCTCCTTTCTAAGTCAGGTTTTAGATCCTTACTCTGCTACCTATGTACTCTTTCTGTGGGCAAATTGCTTAACCCCCATGAACTTTATCTGCAGCCTGGAGGTAGAGATAATGGTCCTCCACTGAGACCAGACCTGCTCAGACCTGTTCAGTCACTGCACAGCCCCCCACCCCTAGAAAACCTATCTCACTTGGGCAGATGTGGTGGAAGGCCAGGATGGATAGAGTTTCATGGAGGTGTCCAGGACAGGGACAGGGTTAAATGGAATCTTCAGTTTGACTGTGCCCATAGTTAGGCTCTGGCCTAGGCTTTGGGAATCTTGTAAATTCTCAGTTGCTTAGACTCTTTCAGACAACCCAGGCTTGGGGTGAGCCACATGTAGAATATGAGATTACCGTAATGGTAATGGAGAGTGAACCAACTGCTCTCACATTGAGGTTATGGACGGTGGTAACATGTCTGGGGCCCTCTTTGAAGCGAGTCAGATGTGCTAGATCTGGGTATAGACGCTGCCTAGTGGCCATGCTTTGTTCATCAGTGCTCCTGGTTTCATAGCTTACCCCCTCCTGGTAGTGGCACTCGGGAAGATTGACGGTGGAAGAAGCTCCTAGGGATGAATCAGACAGGAGCGTCCCACAGGACTGCATCAGAAGCACACTTGTGGGAAAGTATGGCTGCCGGGGAACAGCAGGATGACGAGGTTCTCTAGAGGGCTGAGTGGGATGGCCCCCTTTCCTGGCCTTTTTCCTTTTCACCAGGCCTCCTGGCTGGGTGTGAAGCAGAGGAATTCCAGTCCAGGTGCCCTCGGATGCCTCCAGGAGGGTTCATTCCTGCCTGAGGGGATCAGGCATTGAGTAGAAGGGTGAGGAGTGTCATGTGGCTTGAAACCACACCCTGAGCCTGGGCCTCACTGTGGGCCTGCAGTCCTCTTGTCTTAGAAGCTGAGCCACCAGCCTGGTGTCCAGAGGGAGTTACAGGAGGCACAGAACACCACTGAGTGTGTGGCCTCTTGAGACTAGGCAAGGTGGGTGTCTAGGCTGATTTGGGGCAGCACTTTTTGGAAAGGGTAGAGTGGAGTCTTTCTCCAAGAATCACTTTCGTCTTAAAATCTTTCTCAAGTCCTTAAAGTCTGGGCCATAGCAATGCTCTCCTGTCCCGTTGTTGGGTACAGGGCAGAGGAAACCTCCTTCACTAGTCCTTAAGATAAGCTGCATGGACACTGTAACTGTTTCCTCAGCAGGGGCATGGTGGGTCATTCCCCCAATGGATTTCCATTCTGAAGGGCAGGAGGCAGCAGGGGATGGTGGGAAACCCAGACTCTGTCGTCGCTGTCGTCATTTTCATTGGCTATTTGAATGTTCATTTGGACAAGTGGGGTGAATGAACACTGAGATTGTGGGTGTGTTGGGAAGAGAGGGAAGCAGAGTTGTGCTGTGCCAGGACTTTCACTGATTGGAGACACCAGTTGTGCCCCAGTCAGAGGAGCCAGGAGTGACAGGGACCTGTATTGCTCTGGCTACTCTGCCCATGCAAGCCTGCACTAATTTGTGTCAGTTTTGCCTTTTGTAGAGCTTGATGTAAATGGAATTTATCTGTCTGTGCTTTCATTGTCTGTTATGTGTGTGTGGTAGTCAGAGGACAACCAGTCAGTTCTTTTTACATAGCCCTGGCTGACCTGGAACTCACTGTGTGTAGATTAGGCTGGCTTTGAACTGAGTAGGATTAAAGGAATGTGCCACCGCACCAGGATGGCCCTTGTGTTTTGTTTTGTTTGTTTTGTTTTGTTTTGTTTTTTGAGACAGGGTTTCTCTGTGTAGCTTTGCGCCTTTCCTGGATCTCGCTCTGTAGACCAGGCTGGCCTTGAACTCACAAAGATCCGCCTGCCTCTGCCTCCCGAGTGCTGGGATTAAAGGCGTGTGCCACCACCGCCCAGGCAGGATGGCCCTTGTTTTTAAGACAGGTCTTACTCTGAAGTCCATGATGGTTTTGAACATGTGATCCCTGTGCCTCAGCCTTCCAAGTATTGAGATTACAGGTCTGAGCCATTACAGCTGGTTTAAAATGTAAAGAATACTGTAGTTTGACTTATTTTTCCTAAAATGGTATGGCACAAAATCAGTAAGCTAGTAGAAATTGTTCAAGTGTCAAATATTGAGGTGATTATGTGTTGCTTGTAATCCCAGCTCTTGGGAGATAGAGGTGAGTGAAGGTCATTTTGGTGTCTGTAGCAAGTTGGAAGCCAGCCTGGGATATACGCAACCCTGTCAGAAAGACAGCAAAATATTAGAATTTTGATCCCATGGGTCAGTGATTATTTTGGTCCTGAGACCAAAGGATAAATTACTAGTGTCCTGTAGTGTGGAGTATTACTAGGCTGTGTTATCCTGGATTGAATGCATTTTAAACAAATCTTGGAGGGAGTAGTGTGGTATTTGCTGTACTGTGGTATATGTGTACTATGCTAGCCCCTTTCTGGACTCACAGGTTACCCTCAGGGAGGGGCGCATGCTTCTGACTTTTCTATGATGGGAAGGAGTGAAAAAGGATAAATGGGTACATACTATTCCATCAAGGCCATATGCTGATATCTAATGTGGGGGCCAGGAAGGTCACACAGAATTGTATTATTTCTTCTATTCATGTTTACAGTAGAGCAAGCTGGACCTTGTCTTCAGAGGTCAGACTTGCTGCCCCCCATGGAAGCCTGGAGCTGGAGGTTTCTCGGCAATAGGTGGTTTTTGTGCTGGCTTTCTCTTCCCTTTCCTTGTCCTCTGAAGAATTTGTTTTGGTCAGCCCTGAGATCAGTGGTCAGCCCCATTGTCCCGGGTAGCTATAGGTGCCATTGTTAGGGTTGGCAGTCCTGGGCTAGGCCTGTTACCCTTAGTTCATAGGCACTGCTGGATGTTAGCCCGCATGTGCACCCTGTTTTAGTTAAGTCTGTATCTGGCTTTTCATGGGCTGGTGTATCTAGCCATGTTCTCAGTCTTCAGTCTCCCAGACACTGGCTTCTCCAAGGAAAGTAGGTGGACCAATAGTCATCATCATTCAGATTGGGAAGAAAAGAGCGGTGATTTGTAGGCTACAGGGCCCTCCCATGGGAGGACCTGAGTGGGGACAGACTGCCAGCTCCCAGTAGGGCTGGCATCACCCACCCACCCCCACCCCAGGTGGCGGAGGGCACCAAAAGGATCATTGCTCCTTACCTTGCTAGACCATGGCCAGCCGCTCAGCCCAGCCCTGCTGCGCAGGCTCCCTGCATGCTGTGTCTGGTAGCGGTCCCAGTCCCTACCGAGGGCTCCGTAATTTCTGAATTTGGAAAGTGCTGTGGCAGAAGGCTACCAGGGCCCGGTTTGGGCTGCTTGGTAGGAGTCTGCCTGGCTGAGATGGTTCCTGGATCTGTGGTGGTTCGCCCAAGTTTTGTTGTTCTCTCTGTCCCTGTCCTCTTGGGTGACCAGCTCATTAAACTCCAGAGCTGGTTCTTTGTTTTGTGGCCTTTGGGATAATGAGCCCACTCTGAAACGGGAGCTGCTAGGAGAGCAGGAGAGACAGCTGACAGCCTGAAGCCAGTGACTGAGGCCCCAGCCTAAGGCCTGCACCCCAGGTCTGGTCACATTCCTGAGGGACCTGCCCTCATGGCCCAAGGATGGCGTGGGGGAAGGGCTGGGGCAGAGATGGGTTCCTGGCTGCTGCAGGCTCCTTCCACTGACTTCCAGGGGAGACCAGGCTGTTCTGTGTGGAGAACAGGGACCCAGAATCTCAAGATTCCTCGTCCATAGGACCCAGAGGGTGGTGGTGGGCACACCCCTCACCTGGGGCTGCTGTTGACTGTTCTGTAGGGGGCGAGCCTCTAGACAGATGAACTGAGTTGCCAAGAGAAGGAAAAGGCAGCAGATTGGTTCTTAGAAATAGCCCTTCCGCTAGGTTCCATTTGGACCTTTTGTTATGTAAATATGGCCAACCTTGCTTTAGCCTCCCAGGATGACCTCCAGGGTTTTCTTTTGTTTTTTTGTTTTTTTTTTTCCTCCTCCTCGCTGTCTGTCTGTCTGTCTGTCTGTCTGTCTGTCTGTCTGTCTGTCTCTGAGACAGGGTCTCTCCATGGCTGCCCTGGACCCCTCTTATGTAGAGCAGACTGACCTGGAACTTATTTGCAGATATCTGCCTGCCTCTAGGAGTACTAGGATTACTAGTCCTAGTACTAGGAATCGAGGCTCTGGGATTAAAGGCATGGGGTGTCTACAGTGTACTTTAGGGGTTAGGTAGTACCCCCCACCTGCTCATACCTGGTACTAGGTCTCCCATTCTTTTTTTTTTTTCTCCTCTTGCTTTGTTGCCCCAGGTGCTCATGGGAGTAGAATATGTGACCCTTCCTTCATGCTCCTCTCCTTTCCTCCCTCACTGATGCCTGCCTTCTTCTTCCCAGGTAACCAGGCTTTGATGCTCCCTCAGGAAGTCTGCGTACTCAAGGAGGCCACCCCCCGCCGGCTGCTGCTCACATGGTTTCTGGGCCCCTGGCACTCCGGTAGGCCTGGGAGAGGAGGACTCACCATGGTTTCTAGTCCTTGGGGCTTCGTGGGTTTCTCAGACAGCCTTGGAGTATAGATTCTGTGCTGGTCCACACTCCGTTGTATGTGCACGGTGCAGGCAGGCACCTGTGGGGTGGCGGAGACTTGTGCCCCGGCCTTAGGCACATAGCCTTTCTTTTGTCTCTCCTGCTAGGCCTGAGGCACCAGGTGTTTTTGCCAGTAGAACCGGCACTGCCATTGCCCTGGGGCTGATATCTAGGCCTACTGTGGTAACTGTACCTTAGCTCTTTGTTTCTACCTAGCTGTAGAGAGGTTTGCTTCTCATCGCCTCAGCCACTAAGTCACCTGACTGGCTTTAGCTGCCATGTGCACGGAGCCAGCCCTCTGCCAAGTGCTTTCTGTAAGGCTGAGCGGTAGCATTTTTGTGCATCGGTGTACTCTGGAACTTTGGGGTAAGTGGGGTTTCCTTCTCTGAACAAGGGCAGGTGTTGGACTGAAGAGAACCTTTTGTCAAGTGTTGAGGGCCATAACAGGCCCACCCAGTGGCGGACAGGACTGGGAGCCTTTCGAGGAAAGGGCAGACAGACATGGGTAGTGGAGAGCTTCCGAGGAATTCAGCTACTTCAACAGATTGGACCCAGAAGCCAGGCGTGGGGGTACACAGCACGTTCCTTTAATACTGGTGTTCCAAGAGGCGGACAAGGGTCAGTTTGTTTGTTTGGTTGGTTTTGTTTTTTTCCGAGACAGGGTTTCTCAGTGTAGTTTTGGTTCCTGCCCTGGATCCTGCTCTGTAGACCAGTTTGGCCTTAAACTCACAGAGATCACCTGGCTCTGCCTCCCGAGTGCTGGGATCAAAGGCGTGCGCCACCGCCGCCGGTGAGAGGGGTCAATTTTTGTGAGTCCAGGCCAGCCTGGTCTGCATAACGAGCTCCAGGCTAGGTGGGGCTACTGGTTGGGGAAGACCCTGTCTCGAAAAAAGAAAGAATTTGGACCCTGAGTGGGAGATGTGAACTATCTGTGTAAGCTGTTGGAGCCCCAGACTCTTGCTGTGGTTCCGGATGCTGCATTGCTGGCAGCTGTGTCTCCGCGGCCTGTGGTCTCAGGAAGCTTTGAGGTGGGCTCAGGCAGCCTCTTGGGCACTGGAGTCCCCATTGTGTAGAAGACAAGGCTGGCCATGTGGAGCTGAGTGCAGCTGGGATCTACCTGGAGTGCTTCTGACCTCCTGGAACCTTTGGTACACTTTGCCACCTGTGCTCCCCTGGAGCATTCTCCGTGGAGAGTCCTGCTGGGCTGAGGCGCTTCTGCACGGGGGGACAGTATGCCCGACCCCACCTGCACACACTGCTGCCCTGCTGACAGGTTCCTTTGGAGACACTTGTGTGTTTATTAGTACTTGTGACGACGAGAGTCTACACAGCCTGTCTGGAAAGGCCAGCTTGCTGCCTTCCCCAGGCCCCAGATGGCAAACTATCTTTCCTAGAAAGGGCACAGAGCCTGTGAGGTTCACAGGCTCAGACAGTGTCCAGTGTCTCCGGACTCCTGCATAGTAGAGAGCTTTGTAAGGACCAGCAGTTACGGGAGAGAGGATGCAGGGTCTGAGTCAGGAGCCGGCAGATGAGGACCGCTTGGCTGCCTGGAGGGGTGTTTGAGAGTTACCCCAGGATAGAACAAAGTTTGCAGGCAAAGGAACTTGGTTTGGTTCATAGGGTTTTTTGTTTATTTGCCTTTTTATCTATTAAATTTTAACCTTTCAACATAATGAAATTACCACCACCAACAAAAATCTATAAATCTGGGAAGACCAGTCCTGTGGGTTTGCATGCCTAGGCAGGACTAGCCAGTGTCCTCTGTGGCCCTAGTCTTTTAGAAGGGTATTTGTTGTGGCTTCTGTAGCCACCTGCTGGCCACTTTGTAGGTTCTCTGCATGCCCCTCAGCCTGTGACTGACCTCTAGAATTGAAGCGGTGACAGAGTACAATTCAAATCGGCATTTGTTTCAGCGTCATTATTTATGGGTGTGAGTGTTTTGCCTGCATGTATGTGTGTGCACCACTTGAGTGTGCTCCTGTGGAGGCCATGGGGATCAGGTCCCGGAACAGGAATCACGCATGGCTGTGAAGAGCAGTGCTCTTCACCAGGAAGCCATCCCTCCAGTCTAAACCCAGCTGGCCTGGCACCTTTCCTTACCATAGCCTCTTTTTTTCACGTGAGTGGATGGCAGGGGATGGGCAGGTACACCCTCCTTTCTCTTGGGCTGGGGCCTGTCCTACACACTGTCCCCAAGGAGGGTGGAATTGGGTGGGCTCAGTGCATGATCTGTGCCAGGCCATCATGCAGGTTAACTATCCTCCTGTTCTTGCCCACAGGTGGTGCCCGTGGGCAGGGCGCAGGGACATGGGGCCAGACATGGAGCTGCCCAGCCACTCAAAACAGCTCCTGCTGCAGCTGAACCAGCAGAGGACCAAGGGCTTCCTGTGTGACGTCATCATCATGGTGGAGAATTCCATCTTCCGGGCCCACAAGAACGTCCTGGCTGCTAGCAGCATCTACTTCAAATCCCTGGTCCTGCATGATAACCTCATCAACCTAGATACCGACATGGTCAGCTCCACCGTGTTCCAGCAGATCCTGGACTTCATCTACACGGGCAAGCTGCTGCCCAGTGACCAGCCATCTGAGCCCAACTTCAGCACTCTCCTCACTGCCGCCAGCTACCTCCAGCTGCCCGAGTTGGCAGCCCTCTGCCGCCGCAAACTGAAGCGAGCTGGCAAGCCCTTTGGCCCTGGACGAGTGGGTGCTGCTGGCGTGGGGCGACCGACCCGTAGTCAGCGGCTGTCCACAGCCTCTGTCATCCAGGCTCGGTATCCAGGACTTGTAGATGGGCGCAAAGGACACCCCGTCCCCCAAGAGCTCCCTCAGGCCAAAGGATCAGATGATGAGCTTTTTCTGGGCAGCTCCACCCAGGAAAGCACACACGGCCTGGGCCTGGGGGGCTGCCCAGCTGGTGGGGAGGTGGGCCTGGGGGGCTGTAGCAACAGCACCAACGGGAGCAGTGGGGGCTGCGAGCAGGAGCTGGGTCTCGACCTGTCCAAGAAGAGCCCTCCACTGCCTCCCGCAGCCCCTGGCCCCCACCTCACTCCTGAAGACCCAGCCCAGCTGAGTGACGGCCAGCGCGACTCACCTGCGCCCGCTGCACCCTCCGCCCTGCCTGTTGGCAACAGTGCCTCGTACGCGGAGCTGGGGGCCACTCCTGAGGAGCCCATGGATCTGGAAGGGGCCGAGGACAACCATGTGAGTCTGCTGGAAGGGCAGGGCGGCCAGCCTCGCAAGAGCCTCCGGCATTCAGCCCGCAAAAAGGATTGGAACAAAAAGGAACCTGTGGCTGGGTCCCCCTTTGATCGCAGAGAAACGGGGACTAAGGGTCCCAGCCCAGGGGAGGAAGGGGAGGGGCTTGGGGACAGGGTTCCCAATGGCGTTCTGGCCAGCGGTGTTGGCGGGAGTGGCCCCAGCGGGTCGTACGGGGAGCCGCCGTACCCCTGCAAGGAGGAGGAGGAGAACGGCAAGGACGGGAGCGAGGACAGTGGGCAGAGTGGGAGCGAGGCGGGCAGCGGCCCCGCCGGGGCCCAGTACGTGTACCGGCAGGAAGGCTACGAGACGGTGTCCTACGGGGACAATCTCTACGTGTGCATCCCGTGTGCCAAGGGCTTCCCCAGCTCTGAGCAGCTCAATGCCCACGTGGAGACGCACACAGAGGAGGAGTTGTTCATCAAGGAAGAGGGGGCGTATGAGACCGGCAGTGGGGGTGCGGAGGAGGAGGCCGAGGACCTGTCCACACCTAGTGCAGCCTATGCAGCCGAGCCTCGTCCTTTCAAGTGCTCAGTCTGTGAGAAGACCTACAAGGACCCGGCCACACTTCGGCAACACGAGAAGACACACTGGCTGACCCGGCCCTTCCCCTGCAACATTTGTGGCAAGATGTTCACGCAGCGAGGCACTATGACGCGCCACATGCGGAGCCACCTGGGCCTGAAGCCCTTTGCCTGCGACGAGTGTGGCATGCGCTTCACCCGCCAGTACCGCCTCACAGAGCACATGCGTGTGCACTCAGGTGAGAAGCCCTACGAGTGCCAGCTCTGTGGGGGCAAGTTCACCCAGCAGCGCAACCTCATCAGCCACCTGCGCATGCACACTTCCCCTTCCTAGAAGCCAAAGACCCGAGGGAGCCCTCTGCAGACTTGCCACGTGGGAACCGCGGAAGGAGGAGTGAGGAAGTATGGCGGGAGGGCCGAACCCCAAGTCCGGCCCCGCCTCCCCATACCCAGAGCTTTAATCAGCAGTGTACCAAGGGAAGCCAAGAGAAGAGCTGCCCGGGCCAGCCCTGTGGTGTGGTGCTGGTGACTGTTCTACCTCCCGTCCCACTTGGCTCCCAGCTCCTGAAGGGCTGCTGGAGAGCCGGTGGGAGTCCATCATGTGGGTGCCAGTGGGGCTTGGTCCCTTACTGCAGTCTGGGCTAGAGGAGGCTCAGGGCCTCCTTCCATGGCCAAGAGTGGTGCCTGGAGCAGGCCCTCGGCTGTCAGGGACTCGGCTGTGTGTGTGCATGTGTGCTTGTGTCTTTGCGGTGCAGTGTGACTCTGCTGTTGGGAAGCTGGTGCTGGGTGGCAGTTCCTTTCTCTCTGAGCTGGGGTGGCAACTGCTAGCTCACACTGGACAGTCAGGGTGACCCCACTGCCTACCTCTCGACAACTAAAGAGCCCTCTGGGCCTGTGTTACTGTTATTCCTACTGAGCTGTTCCTATTTCTTTTTTACAGTTTTTAAAAATTCTTTTTTAAAACCAAAATGAACAATATTTTCCTCCTGCCTCTCTGGGGATGAGCCTGGGTTTGCAGACTGAATGTAACTGGGGCAGCTGCCCCCCCCCCCCTGTCATTTCCCCTGGTCCTGGTGCTGTGGGCATGGTTGAACTTGCCTCTCCAAGGCCCCAGAAGCCCTTCTTGCCCAAAGGCTTCCCTGATCCCGAGCCCTGCCTGCCTGGGCTTCCTCAGGAGAACATGCTTTTCCCATAATTTCCAAGGAATGTCACTAGTTAGAGGTACTTACTTTTATTGAGACCCCCCCCCCCCACTCTCATACGTTTTCTGAGATGTTGGAACTTGAAGATCTGAAGTTTCAGAGGGGGAGGGGGAGGCTAGACTTGGTGCCAGGGCCATCGGTACTCTTGTTCGTGTGTGTGTGTGTGTACGTGTGTGTGTGTGTACGTGTGTGTGTGTGTGTGTGTATACACGTGTGTGTGTGTGTGTGTACACGTGCGCCCGTGCACACGCGCGAGTGGATGAGAGTATGCGTGTTGCTTATGCACAGATGCTTTGCTTCCTTGCTCCCTGAACAAGGTGGCGAGCCTTCTGACCTTTGCTACCTCTTGAATTCAGTACCACAGTGCGTGGAGGCTGCAGTTGTTTCCTGTGGTGGAGTTGGCTGGGCTGGGCGGGCCCGAGCCCTATGTGGGCCTCGTGTTCCGGAAGGGATGATTGCTGCTCAGGGGATGCTGTTTGTGGGGCAGGTGCTGGGCACCTGAGGAACAGAAGCCATGAGGAGGGAGCAGCTCCCTGCATGGGCCAGCGTGAGGTGGAAGTGAGCCCATCCCGTCTCCTCCTGAGCTCTTGTGTGTCTCAGAACCTACTGCAGAGCCAGAGCTACAGGTTGGCCTCCACCTCCAGACTCAGCAAGTGGAGGGGTGGGTGTGTCAGCCGGCTTCAGATGCTTCCCAGGCCAGACCAAGATTGTCTGCTCTGCTCCATATGAGCCACAGATCTGGGCCCGTAGGCCTTATCATCATGTTTGAAGGCTTTTCATGTTCCTTTTGATTTTTTACTAAAGACCAAAAACTTCCAGAGTCATCTCCTGCTCCCACCTCTGCAGAAACCCTCTAGCCTGAGTCCAGGGACCCCGTGAGTGGCAGGTGGCAGTGAGGGCACCTGGCCGGGCTCCCGTGGTGCCCTTGCTCTGAGCCAGTACTTTACCCTTTGCCTGTAATCTCTTTTCTGTTCTTGCAAGTCCCACTGAGTAGCTGAGTGAAGACCCGGCCCCTCCACCCAGGGAAGAAGCAGGGCGTGCTAGCCTCTGTTCCCCACCCCACCCCACCCCACCCACCAGCACTTAAGCCAAGGACGCAAAGTCTGTGCAGCATGGGGACCCCGTGTGGCCTCCCCGGCTGTGGGCAGTCTCTCTCGTCTGTTGTGCAGAAATTCAGGGATGGGAGCAGAGCCCCTCAGCACGCCGTGTGCAGCAGAGTGTTGTACCCACCTTAGTATTGTACCAAGCCTTTTCTGTATTTTAATGAGAAAGCAAAACACTAGTTTCCTATTTAAGATTTTAAGGGTCGTTGGGCTGGGCGGGATCGACACTTGGTTTGTTTTCTTTTTTCTTTGTTTTCATTGGTGCATGCTTATGACTGTCCGTATGTGTGTCTGTGTGTGTGTGATGTCAAGAGCCTCAAGGAAATCAGGCCATAGGAGGCCAAGGTGGCTTACAGTTCTCTTTTAGTCATTTAATTCCTGAATGTTTTGGAGAAACAGGAAACAGAAAATAGCAGATGTCATGTAGGAAAAAAGATTAAAAAAATATCAAAAGAAAAAAAAAAAAGCTCATACCCAAATTCACAAAACCTATTTTTTAAACCAAAGCACATTTTGAATGAGTATGGAACCTCAGTGGGCTCAGAAAAAAAAGATACTAATATATTTATCTCATTGTTTACATAAACTTTTACAGTTTCAGACCTCAGCAGCTACAAGGCCAGTCCCAGGGAACTCTTCCCTCCCTCCTGGGTCCTTCTTGGCTTCTAAGTCGACCCTTGAGGGACTCAAGGGCAGAGGCAGCCCTGGTGCTGGGTAAGAACCAGAAGCCCCTCCCCTTAGCTGCACCTGAGCCCTAGGCCCCGTTTTTGGGGCCTCTTCAAGCTCAGCTGCCACCAAAGAGCATGCACCAAGCTGACCAGCCCCCAGGCCTCCTGGCTGGACCCAGGGGTGGGTGTCAGCCCTGCCCGAGAGCCTTGTGTTACTGTGAGAGTCACTCAAGCCAAAAAGCAGGGAGCTTTAGGAAGCTCAGCGGACTCCATCATGCGCACACCCCACCCCGGGCAGCAGAAGGGTCTGACTTGAGTCTGGTCCTCACCAACAGGCGGTGCGAACACTCTCAACAGTGTTGTTTTGTATCCATGTTTGTGCAGTGATGAATGTATTTATTTCTCAGACTTAGGGCAAGCTGGTGGAAGCAGGCCCGGCTCTGCCAGTGCCCACTCCCACTGGACCGAGCTACTGCAAGGGCTCTTCCAAGATTGCAAAAAGGAAAAGGTGAACTTGGGAACACTTAAGAATCTCAGACTTGCAGGATAGCCATACACCTCAGCCTGTGACCCCTGACCTCACACGGCCCAAGAAGTGTGTTTCCGTCCGTCAGCACTGAGGGGAGCCAGATCCCCACATGCTTCCCACACTGTCAGTATTCACTGGACCTCAGGTCCTTGTGCAGGAGTGCGATCTGCTGAGTTCTCAGCAGGCAGAGCCTTCCTGAGTAGGGGGATCCTGGGCAGCCGGGAGGGCAGGGCTCAGGGGGTCAGTGCTAGGAACAGAGGCAGAAGCCAAGCGGCTGGGCCCGAAAGAATGGACAGGCTCCCCAGCCTTGCTGTGCTCCACTAAAGGGACCAAGGTCTTCCTTTCCCCAGTCACTACGGGGCCAATGTTACTGAACCTATGAAATGGATGCCAGGAATGAGGGATAGAGAGGGACCCGACCTCAGTCTGACATTCCAGCCCGGGAAGGGTGGAAGCTGTGGAAACGTGCTGCCCAGGACCCCCTTCCTAGGATGCCTGCAGCTTCAGTCACCTTACTTTAACTTTCTACCAGGGACCCCTCCCCCTACCTCACCTTGCTATTTATTGCTGTAATTTATTGACCTCAAAAATGCTGCATAACAGACCTCACTTGGGTCAGGGAGAGTTCTCAGGGTCCTCCCCTCCACTTGGTGGGGCCCCATGGGGCCAGGTGCTTAAAGGAACCTCCCTGTACCTAACCCATCACTTGTTTCCTCCAGGGGCCCCAGGTTGGGCTCCATCCATCCCATTTGCAAATACCTCAGGAGGGATGGGGTATATCTGTTTCGTTTAATTGGAACTGGAAGAGGGATCACATCCTCTGTACCCTTCCCGGAGCAGGGGAGGGGTGCGGGGATCGCACTCCTGTACTGGTCACCGCTGTTGCCACTCATCACATTAAGTTTACTTCCCCAGAGTCTGGATGGATGCATTCAGGTCAGAGCTGCAGCTGTGCAGCCCTCCAGTGTCAGTGATTTATCCACGACTGATCTCTCCATTCAAAAGCGTGCAGTCTTAATGTACAGTGATGAGAAACTGTTATTTTATGATCTTTTCATTAAAAGCTTGATTGAAAACTGTGGTGTCTGTCTTGTGGCTCTACCCTCCAGCAGAGTGACAAGGTCTTAAGAGAGAGCCAGGATCTGGGGCGAGAGGATGGTGGGGGGTGGGGGGGTGGTGGTTGGGGGTGGTTGGGGGGGATTGCCTTTAGATGTGAGCATGGTCAGAACAACAATGGCTCAAGTTAATTGAGGCTGTCCAGAAAGCAGATATGGTGGAGTGGCCGGGATGAGGTGTGACCAGTACCCTGGAGCACAGTTTGTAACTAAGAAAGGGCTGGGACAAGATGAGAGCCCTCTTAGTGGGTCCTCTCCAGAATGAGTCTTGGGAGGTTGAAGACTTGATCTAAGGCCTGGGGTTGTGGCGGGGCAGTTTTCGCAGCACATGCCAGGACACTAGATTCAAACTCCCCTGTGTGTGCTTGCAACATAGGAGGACTCAAAAAATAGGTTTGTGAACGTTTAGAAAGCCCGGCTCTTGGCCAGGCGGTGGTGTCGCACACTCTTAATCCCAGCACTCAGGAGGCAGAGGCAGGTGGATCTCTGAGTTCAAGGCCAGCCTGGACTACAGAGTGAGTTGCAGGACAGGCTCCAAAGCTACACAGAAACTGTTTTAATTATGGGGCTGGAGAGATGGCTCAGCAAGCAGTTAAGAGCACTGGTTGCTCTTCCAAGGACCAAGGTTCAATTCCCAGTACCCACCTAGCAGCTAAAAAGTATAATTGCAGTTCCAGGGGAACCCGACACCTTCACACAGACATACATGTAGGCAAAACACCAATGCACATAAAATAAAAATCATTTAAAAAATTTAAAAAAAGAAAAAAATACTTAATTTGTTCTGTGTGTTTTCCTGGTGCTTCTGTGAATGCCATGGTGTGTGTGTAGAGTCTAGGGCTTTGTGTATGATAGTTAAGCACTCTGCTGAATGAATTATAACCTAGTTTTTTTTTTTTCCCCGAGATAGGATTTCTCTGTGTAGTTTTGGTGCTTGTCCTGGATCTCGCTCTGTAGACCAGGTTGGCCACGAACTCACAGATCTGCCTGCCTCTGCCTCCCGAGTGCTGGGATTAAAGGCGTGTGTTGCTGCCACCACCGCCTGGCATATCCTAATTTCTAACTGATCCTTCATCTCCCAAGCACTGGTGCCTATATCTGGTTTATTTTAAATTCCCATGGAAGTGTTCTCTCCTCTCCCATCTCCCTCTGTTCTTGAGGTACCATCTCACCATGTAGCCATCTCTGCCCTGGAACTCAGATCCTCCTGTGTAGTGATAATTGTGTTCCCCAATATATTGTGCACCCTAATAAATTTATCTGGGGCCAGAGAACAGAACAGCCACTAGATATAGAGGTCAGAAAATGGTGGCACTCACACCTTTAATCCTAGCATTCCAGAGGCAGAGATCCGCCTGGATCTCTGTGAGTTCAAGGCCACACTGGAAACAGCCAGGCATGGTGACTCACGCCTTTAATCCCAGGAAGTGATGGCAGGAAGCAGAAAGGTATTTAAGGCGTGAGGATGAGGTACTAGGCTGGTTAAGCTTTTAGGTTTTTGAGCAGCACAGTTCAGCTGAGATTCATTCTGGATGAGGACTCAGAGGCTTCCAGTCTGAGGAAACAGGATCAGCTGAGGAACTGGTGAGGTGAGGAAGCTGTGGCTTGTTCTGCTTCTCTGATCTTCCAGCATTCACCCCAATACCTGGCTTCAGGTTTGGTTTTATTAATAAGACCTTTTAAGATTCTTGCTACACTCCGGCCTCTTGCTCCCCATTGTTGTGATTAAATGACCATTGCCAATGTCTATTTCTTTAAAAAATTTAAAGATTTATTTATGTATTTTATGTATATGAGTGTTCTGTTATAAACTCTTCTGTCATATACATACACTCCTGCAGGCCAGAAGAAGGAATCAAAGCCCATTAGAGGTAGTTATGAGCCACCATGTGGTTGCTGGGAATTGAACTCAGAACCTCTGGAAGAACAGCCATTGCTCAAACCCTAAAAATTAAATTTTGATGACCAGCTCAACTATCTTGCATGGCTTAAAGGATTACCACCACCCAAGGCCCTGGTCTTAGCTGGTTTCTGTCTAGGTTCCCTTTACAATTTCCTTTGGCAGTGCTGGAGAGGAGTGTACAGCATGGTACTGTGCACAGTCAGACCGGTACTGAGCTGTGCAGAGTCCCCAGGCCCTGAGTGTAAAGCACCTCCTTCCCAGAGCTGTTTGAAGAGGCTTTTGAGAGCTGGCTCCGGCACCCTAAGGGGACTATTTAGTGAGGATGGCTCAAGTCTCAGGACAGGCTGGTTTCCATTTACAGTGTCAATACCCATGGGGTCTGGCCTGCCACAGAGTCATCTGGTAACAGGAAGCGCCTCCTGGGTCGGACTGCACTGGTGATGGAGAATCCCTTTTTTTGTTGAGACTCACTGTATAACCTGGCTGTCCTGGAAGAGAACTGACTGCTCCTGCCTCCCGAGTGCTGGGATTCAAGGTTTGTGCCAACATACCCTGGAGAGGATCACTCTGCTTAGGATCCCCATCACTCAGGCTAGTCTCTTACTCCATAGTTTAGGACAGCAGAATTCTGATCCCGTCTGCACCTCCCGAGCGCTGGTGTGTGTGTGTGTGTGTGTGTGTGTGTGTGTGACTGTGGAGGTCAGAGGACAGCCTTGGGTGTTAGCCCTCACCTTCCATGTTGTTTGAGACTTGGTGTGTGTGTGTGTGTTTGTGTGTGTGTGTGTGTGTGTGTGTGTGTGGCTGCTGTGTGCTGTGTACACTAGACTGGCTTCTAGGGATTCCTCCCGATTTCTCATAGGAATCCTGGGACTTGAGACAAATGCTACAATGTCTGGCTTTATGTGGGTTCTGGGGATTTGGACTTGAATCCTCACACTTCTCTACTTCCTGTTTCCCTAACCCCGAAAGGGAACTTTTGATGCCTTGTTCCCAGTGTCAGGCGGTGTTGGCGCCATCTTGGACTGTTAAAATCGACAGGAATGGCTGCTCCCCTTCACGGGCTGTTAGGTCATGTGTGGTGGTCCAGAACCTGAGCGGGAATGTGTGGGCACATGTGAGACTTTAACTCCCATGGCCTGGGCAACTGCAGGCCTTTGAACCTCTTTCCAGCTGTGGCCTGAGGGAGGCAGGAGCCCCTGGAGCGGGGGGTGGGGTGGGGTGGGGTGGGGTGGGGTGGGGTGGGGGGTGGAGCTTGGGTGTGTGGTCAGGCTGAGCAGGGCAGATGCATGCAAGGACAGCATTCAGGCTCAGGACAGATGAGTGCTGACCTATGGAAACCAGACGAGTTGGGTGTAGGGGAGGGAGGCTGGTTCTTCTGGATAGGGTGGGAATCCAGAAGGCACTGTTCTGTGCATGAACCTGGCCTGGGGGCTGTAGTCCCTGAAAATACGGAAAGCTTGTGAGGAAACCCTGAGTGACACTGAGTTCTACCCTGGCGAAGGCTCAGCCGCTGGCCGGCAAATTGAGAACAATAGCATTCAGGCCAGCACCAAGGAGCCATCGGAAACAGTGCATGTAAGCTAGCCCAGAGGGGCCCAGGAACTTGCTCCTCCTCTGCTTGGGCTTCGCTTCTGGACGGGCAGCCCGGCAGAGAGATCAAAGCAGCCCAGGAGACCCAAGCTGCCGCCGGGCCAGCCTTCTGTACTAAGGCTCTGTGTATACTCTTCCCAGTGAACTCACTACCTTAGCCCGTGCTGCTGAGTCAGCAAGTGTCTCAGAGACACCATGACCCCAGCAACTCTTAGAAAGGAAAACATTTAACTGGGTCTGGCTTATGGTTCAGAGGTTTAGTCTGTCATCAATGTGGCAGAAGCATGGGGGTGCTGGAGAGGTACCCGAGAGTTCTACATCTTGATCCACAGGCGTAGTGAACTCTCCCTTAGTGGGCACAGCTAGAGGATAGGATTCCTCAGACCCACCCTTCAAGGACAGGCACATTTCCTCCAACAAGGCCACACCTACTCCAACAAAGCCACATCTCCAAATAGTGCCACTCCCTATAGGCCAAGCATTCAAATACATGAGTCTGTGTATTTTAAAACCACCACAGCGGGCTGGAGAGATGGCTCAGAGGTTAAGAGCACTGACTGCTCTTCCAGAGGTCCTGAGTTCAATTCCCAGCTTCCACATGGTGGCTCACAACCATCTGTAATGAGATCTGGCACCCACTTCTGTATACATAATAAATAAATAAATCTTAAAAAAAGAAAGTTTAATCTTTTTTTAGTTTTCCAGTAGGATGACTGTCCTACCTAGTTTTATATCAACTTGATGTAAGCTAGAGCCATTGGGAAGAGGGCCTCTCAATTGAGAGATTTTCCTGTAACCAAGTCTTAATTAGTGAGTGATGTTAGAAGACCCAGCCCATCATGGGTGGTTCCATCCCTGGGAAGGTGATCCTGAGGTCCTTGGTCCTTGGAAGCAAACTGAGCAAGAAATGAGACAAAGCCTATAAACAGCTCCTCCATATCCTCTGCATCAACTCCTGCCTTTAGGTTCCTGCTTGAGGTTCCTGCCCCAGCTTCCCTCAGTGATGGAGTGTAACCTGGGAGTGTAACCTGCCCAGGGATGACACAGCCCACAACAGACTGGACCCTCCCACACCAATCTTCAATCAAGACAATGTACTACAGGCCACTCTGGTGGGGCATTTTCTCAATTGAGGCTCCCTGTTTCCAAATGAGTCCAGATTGTGTCAAGCTGACATAAAACTAGCCATCACATTGGCAAACATAGGAAACAATAAAATAATGTAAGCGAGGTGTGGTGGCAGATGATTATAATTCCAGTGCTTGGGATGTGTAATTAGGGATGTGAGGTCAGGACTTCAAGGCATTCTTGGGTAACATGAGATCCTGACTCAAAGAAACAAAGCAAAACAAGAACCCCAAAATGAAAGGAAAACAATGTAATATTATTACCAATTACTATTTCCCTTATATTTGTAAGATGCCTTTTGAAATTTGATTTTTTTTTTTTTTTTGAGACAGGGT